GGAACCGGGGATTGAACTCAGGCTCTTGCGCTTGCCAGGGAAGCACTTATTCCACTGAGCCATCTTCCTGGCCCCTAATATTTTAACACATTGTTAGCACATACAAAACCTTAGAAGTTCTTCTCATCATCTGAGTAGACATTTGGATGCCATTGCTTCTTTTATGTTTATATTCTCCGCTGGACAGAAAGGACAGTCAGTGATCTGAGCTTAGTGCTCCTCACAATGCTCTTCATGTTGTGACAAATGAACAGCTTGTTGTTGCTGTCACTGTTGAAGGTTGTGAAATCCACCATGGGGGAGGAGCTGGAGGCAGCACAGAAAAAACCTTCTCTATCTGACTTCTTCCAGTCACCCAACCTGTGTAAACGAGTGTGGCTCCTGTCCTTTGTGAGGTAGGTTTCACACATTGCCTATTTATATAGTGGAGGCATGAAACTTATTTCAGAAGACATAATTTGTGGCAGAAACCAATTTGAAGACAAATGATGAAGAAAGCAAACACAAGTGCTAAGGATGGAAGCAGCCAAACAGCTTTGAAAAAGACTGATGGAACTAATTGTACAGTGAGTTTTGTTTATCATGTCAGCCAGGATCATCACCAGAGACTAATTCTGAGACTGTTGATTATGGAAAACTTTGTTTCCACTTCAGTGGAGGTAAAAGATAGAGGGAAGTGAACAATAAAGTACATAAATATGAACAGCTGAATGGTTATTTACATATGTAGTTACAACCTTTAGTCAGGTCACAATGTAGAAAAAACCCTAACCCCCTAGGGGGACTTATCATATAATGTGCACAACACCCTCTCACATCCAAAATAAATTTAGCAAAAATTATAGCTTGTCATCATGTAGCTATTTTATGATTATTATGAAATTACCACCCACAAGGAAATATTCCACAAAACTAATAAGACTTTATATTTTAACACCATCACTTGTCCTCATGGGCCAGTATGATGTCATCTCTATAACATTAGCTCTAAACCCTATGACATGTCTTTCTTCTTTGTTCACTACAGATTTGCAGTATGGCTGCCCTCTTTTGGCCTGATTCTACACCTCTATCAGCTGGGAGATAACGTCTTCCTGTCGCCAATTCTCATTGGAATTGTCAATGTCCCAAGCATTTATGTTAGTTTTTGGACAATGAATCACTTGGGTCGTCGAATAAGCCAACTGTTTCTCATGTCTGTGTTGGGAATCTTTATTCTGGCAATTGCATTTGTGCCTCAAGGTGAGGAGAGCACAGGATGAAAATAGAAATCTCTTATGACTGTTCCTAAGAGCACTGAAAATCACATTTATGTGAAACCAGAGGGAATTAGTCCTTAAGATTGCCTGAAACCAATCTTGGTATTTAGAATAGAGTCTTCCATTAAACTTCTGGGAATGAGCCTAAGGTCAGTATCATTTGGCTCAGCTATGTGCTCTATTCTGCACACTTTAGATGAATCTGGAACTAGTGCCCCCTGTGCTCAAGTTTCTGTGGGCCAGCAATGGAGCATCTGCTCCTTGATGAATCAGAATTCACAGTAAGCATGTAGGATATAGATCTAAAAATGAAAGTGAATCAAAGTATTCAGGACATCTTATTCATTATAAAACTAAATATGTAAATAAGTCACATTTCTTAGCTTATTAGCCACAGCACAAGTTCAACCTCTGTGAAATTTCTCTTCAATATATTGTACACTTGTACACACCTCCAACAAGAGTACATCCCATTTGTGATGTGAAGATTCTGATTCCTTCTGCTCAGATTTGCAGACTCTCCCTGATCTTCCTTTCTCCAGGAATGCAGACCCCACGTTTGATTTTGACAGTTTTTGGAGCAGCATTTTCTACTGCCTCTATTACCACCTGTCTTACCCATGCAACTGAACTACTCCCTACTGTAAGCAGGTAAAAAAAAATATTGGTTCCCTGTGAGGTTAAAATAGACTTTTTCCAGTTCATTGACTCTTAAGGAAGGAATAAAGATGTGAATGAAAGTTACAAGGTGATTGTGATAGTAACAACAATAATTATAGTCAAAGATTACTAAATGCAGATTACAACCTGCTTTGGCCCCCCTTCTGTCCCTTTCTTGGACAGCTTTCTTTCCCCCCAATAAATATATTCTACTCTTTAAAAAATTACTAAATGCTAGTTTTTGGGCAGGTACTCTTAAGTCTGCTAATGTATCACCAACATACATTTTATGTAATATTCAGTGACCCAAAAATAGGGACTATAAATAATAGTATTTATAAATCATAAAATGGTAAGTTACCACCATAAAAATTTGCGAGAAATTGCTAAAACTTACATAGCATGTTTCAAATGTAAAAGTGCCTTGTCAGCCATGTGTGGTGGTTTAAGCCTACAAACCTAGCACTCGGGAGGCTGAGGCAAGAGGATTGCTAAGCGTTCGAGGCCAGACTGGGCTATATTGTGAGCTCAAGCCTAGCCTGACACTGTTTCAGAAAAATAAAAAGTACATTGTCAGCCAGCATAAATTTAAACCTACAAAAATGGGGGAGAGGATATAAAAACAGCTGCTGAGAAAACAGCTACAGACAAGAAATGAGAATGCAGGAAAAAGAAATGTCAAAAGCATTTGAAAACAAGGTGAAAAAAAAAGCAGAGAAAGTTGCTTGAAAAGAGCAACTCAGATCAAGCAGGGAGGTGCAGCAAAGTGGTTGCCTCAGAGAAACTGAAACAGCTGACCTGAGCTGGCAAAACTTTCTTGTTAAAGTATGGAGGAAAGGACAAGGCCCTGAAGTCATCTCAAGCACTCTTTGCTAAGTTACAAGATCAAGTAAAAATGCAAATCAATGATGCAAAAAAAAAAAAAACAGAAAAGAAGAAAAAGAAAAAAAAAACAGGATATTGCTGTCCATAATTTAAAGCTGTGATATATTTGAATAGCATGTACATATTAATGTAAGCTACTTGACTATTCTATTTTATAATAAAATTCCTGAGCACTGAAAAAAAATGGGAGAAAAAATTTTGCAAGCTATCATTCAGAGGACTAATATTTAGAATGTTAAAAACCTAGAAAAATTAGACCTCTACCAAAATAAACACCAACCAAACAATGGGCATGTGAACAGACACTTAACAGAAGTACAGGTTGTCGATAAATACATGAAGAAATGCTCACCATCTCTGGCCATTACAGAAATAACAAATGAAAACACTAAAATGACATTTTATCAGAGAAAGAATGGCTATCACCAATAAATTACATAATAACAAGTGCTGGTGAGACTGCAGAGTAGAAGGAGACTTTCTACATTGTTGGCAAGAATGTAAACTAGTACTATCACCATGGAAATCAATATGGAGATTCTTCTAAAAACTAAGATTATGCTGGGGAGATAGTTCAGTAGCATAAGCGCTTGCCTGGCAAGCACAAGGTCCTGAGTTCAATCCCCAGTACAACAGGAAAAAAAAAACAAAAAACTAAAATTAGATGTTCCTTTTAACCCAAATATTCCGTTTCTTAACTACTTTCTTAGTATACATCATATTACAGCAGTACATGCAAACTAATATTTGTAGCAGTATAGTTCACAATAGCTAAATATTGGAAGCAACCTATACGATCATCAACAAATGAATGAATAAAGAAAAAGTGGTATTTATACACAATGGAGTACTACTTTGCTTCAAAAAAGGAAAATGTTGAGTCATTTATAGGAAAATGGTTGCACCTTGAGACCACAATGTTAAGTGAAATAATTCAGACACACAAGCTCAAATATTGTATGCATTCTCTTATAGGAGAAACTCAAATTATAAGTGAAGAGCAAAATAAATTATAGATAATAGGAAGGAGGTAAACAGATATTTTTTTAAAGTGAGAAGCAGTCAAGAATGGAGAAAGGAGAGGGAAAGGGGATGAAAACAGGAATGAAGATGCATTATATAAATGCCCCAACTCCACACAATGAATATAAATATTATGTACTGCAAACATGTGCTGTTGTCTAAAGGTTATGTTGTAGTACTCTTCACAAGCAAGAGAAAATGATAAGTCACAAATTCCATGTGTGCATTTTCACCAGACTATTTTTGTACTGTTCTGTCTTCTCCCAGGGCTATGGCTTTAGGAATCACTGGAATTGCTGGGAGCATTGGGTCATCCCTGGCTCCTCTGTTGATGATCTTAGTGACATATTCTCCACCCTTGCCCTGGATCATCTATGGTGTTTTCCCCATCCTTTCTGGCCTTGTTGTCCTTCTTCTTCCTGAAACTAGGAATCAGCATCTGCCGGATTCCATCCAAGACATAGAAAATGAGTGAGTGGACCCTCACTGTCCCTTAGGGTAGTTGTGGCTACAGGTCTGAGTGAGATGACAATATACCATTTAGGGCCAATGCATCCCAGGCAGGCTTAGATCTAAATTCTCATGTGATTAGTGCTTCGGTTCAGATACAGCTCATCTGTTTAAGCACTGACCACAGATGGCCCCCTGGGCTCTCAAAACCATACAAACCAGGTTAGCAAGATAGCTCAGTCGACTAAGTGCCTGCTTAGGCAAGTGCAGGGACTGGAATTTGATCCCCGGCAACACATGCCACACCAGCCCCACTCTCGGGCATGCTGAGCCAACCAGAGTCCAAGTGTGTTGCACACACCTGTAATCCCAGCACTGGGGAGGCTGAAAATGAGTACAAACTGCATACTGAGACCTTATATCAAATAAGTTAAACACACACACACACACACACACACACACACACACACACACCCCAGGTCTGCCCAGTCTACACCACAAGACTTAGGTCTCTTCTGTTCTCCCTGTGCTGAGACACACACACTCCTGAAGGAGTTCCACAAACATGCACAGATACAAATGCCAAATCTCATCCTGTAGACCTTGCCCCTTCTGCTGGTGAGTGCTGTTAAACTGCTGGCATCAGCCAGTTCTAAAAGGCCCGAGTTCTCTCTGGGTCACCAAGTAATCTGGGGAGATCCCTCCCACAAATGACCGTCGATCTCAGGAAAAACAATCTTGGTTGCTTGAGATTCTGACCATCTGGTTTTCACTGGGAATGAAAGTGTTACACAAAAAAAGACAAAGGGCTACATAAAGTCCCTTTCTAAGTGATGGAACTGGGAAGAATTCTGAAATTTTTGAGGGCTGAGGAGATGGCTTGGTGGAATAAGCACTTCCCTGGCAAGCACAAGGGCCTGAGTTCAATCCCCATTTCTTCAAAAAAAAAATTGAAATTTTTATGATCTTCCCTTTCCTTTTCCAAAGATTCACTTGACCAAGGTATAAATAGAAAACTTCACAGATCACCTACAAGATCTTACATTGTGAAGTTAAGTCTTTAATCCTAATATTTGCTGAAGAATTGTGCAGGATTCAAGATGGTTACCAAAATGGGTGTGTGAATGATCATCTTGCCCTAAAACATGAAGATAGAGAAATGACATAGGAGAGAGAGAGAGAGACAGAGAGAGAGAGAGAGAGAGAGAGAGAGAGAGAGAGAGAGAGAGAATATAGGTATAGACATGATATAGATGTGTATATAGATATAATATAGATTAGATTTAGACATAGATTGATAGATATACATGATATAGATAATATAGAGATTATATAGATATAGCTGCAGATATAGATAGATATGAATGAGATAGATAGGTAGATAGCTTTTTTCCTGTTTGCATTTGTTTTGATTGTTTTCTTTGTATTTATCCCAGGATACAAGGCTCAAGAAAAGCAAAACTGAAAGATACCATCATCAAAGTGACACAGTTTTAAGAAATTAAAAGGACTGAAGACTAATCAGAAAGCAAAACAGCAAATTTGAATCATCCCTAGAGTCAAGCAAAATTTGGAAAGAATTTTAAATAAAAAGATGTAATGGAAAATGGATTTATTTGCAATTCCTACAAATAATCATAACTGAATACAATGGTAATACTTTAAAATGAATCATATAGCAGTATTTATGTAATTGTAGACAACTAGCATGTTTCTGGATTAGCAGGTTGGATGATACTCACATAAGCTGAGAGTGGGGTTGTGCAACTGTAGTACTCAGGCTCCCTGAAGGATTGGAGTTTGATTTTTTTTATTTTATTGAGAAACAAATATCAATGAGGCAGTTTCAAAACCAATTAGTAGGACAGTTTCAATAATTAATACATTGCATATTGCTGTCTTCGTAGTGGTTATTCATAGCACAAGATGCAGACATGATATCCTGTCCAAACACTATTAGTAAAAATCATTCTTCTCATTGAATTAAGAGAAAGTAGCTGTATATCTATCCTAATTGTTTTGTATATACAGATACAAAATTGTTCTTCATTTGTTTCCCCTTTTTGGTTTAGTTCTGTCAGAGATGGATATTCCACTGCCATGTAAATAATGGCGTTTGAGACCCACCTAGGTAACAGCAAAAATCATCCCAACACAAAGAAGAAAAAAGAGAGCATTGACTATTTCCCAGTTGCACAGCACAGTCATTGGAGAAGTAATTGTAATGAGCAAAGTCCAAATTTTTTAAGAACTTAACAAACAGTTCTTAATTTATACAGAGCTTAATAATAGGCAAGATGGTTTTTAGAAAGAGGATCATGGATAGCACTTAAGCTGGACCCTACTAGGGGAACAACATGGAGGACTTTATTGCCAGCTATAATGGTGAGAACAGTAATAGCTGAGACATTTTCAAATCAAGATATCCATTAACAGACATAGAATATGTAAATATTAATATTTAGGGCTAGAGATATACCTCAGTGGCACAAATACCTGCCTGGCAAGCATAAGGTCCTAAGTTCAATTCCCAATATGCCCCCCAAAAATAATATTAATACTTGATAGTGTTGTATATGAACCAAAGAGGAAATGTCCATCAACACAGGAATGCAGGGCTGGCAGGATAGCTCAGTGGACTAAGTGCCTGATTAGGCAAACACAGGGACCTGGGTTTGATTCCTAGCACCATATGCCATACCAGTCCCACACCCGAGTACACTGAGTGGACGACCAAGACTGGGTGTTATGGCACATGCCTGTAATCCAAGCACTGGAAAGGCTGAAAACAGGAGGATCACTGAGTCTCAGCTGCATAGTGAGGCCCTGTACTAAACACATAAAAAACAGATAGATGCATAAATAAAATGTGAACTATAGATATATGTACAAGGGGGTACTACTGAGCCATAAAGAAGGATAACTTTGAGCCATTTGTAGGAAAATGAATGCGTCTTAAGACTATAATGCTAGAGAAAAGAAGTAGATCACTTTCAAAGGAAAACCCATCAGAATTATGGCCGACTTCACTTCACATACCATGAAGGCAAGAAGAGCATGGAGCAGAGTACTTCAAGTCCTCTATGAAAACAAATTCCAGCCCAGACTAATATACCCTGCAAAACTCTCTTTCAAGTTTGATGGAGAAGTGAAATATTTTCATGACAAAGAACAACTAAAGAATTTCATGATGACAAGACCAAACCCTACACAGACTACTGAAAGATGTTCTAGAGAGGGACCAAAATGATCAGAACTCCACTAATGAGATCAGAATCAACCAACTAAATAGTGCAAGCAATTAAGCACAGGGGAAAAAGGAGCAAATGACAACAGCTAAATAACATGTCAATTGTAAGTCAATACATCTCAATTACAAGCATCAATGTAAATGGAATCAATTCACCAATTAAGAGAAATAGACTGGCACAGTGGATTAGGAAACAAAATGCAACAATATGCTGTATACATGAAACACACTTAACTCATAAAGACATTCATAGGCTGAAAAATCAAAGGATGGAAAACAATACTACATGCCCCAGCACCTCAGAAAAAGCAGGGGTAGCAATCCTATTCTCAGACAGTCTCAACTTCAAACCAACAATGATCAAGCGAAATAAAGAAGGCCACTATATACTGGTTAGGGGAAAAATTAAAGAAGAAGAGGTAACACTCATAAATATGTATGCACCAAACACGGGAGCACCCAACTATATAAACCAAATCTTAATGGACATGAAAAATCTAATATCCAATACCACAATCTAACAGGAGACTTTAACATCCCCTTATCCCAAAAACATAGGTCAACCAGACAAAAACTTAGCAAAGAAATAACAGAACTGAAGGGGAGCATGAAACAAATAGACTTGGTGGACATATACAGAGTGTTGCATCCAAACACAGCTGAATACACACTTTTTTCAGCAGCACATGGCTCATTTTCTAAAATAGACCACATACTGGTCCATGGGTCACGCTTAAGTATATGCAAGAAAACAGAAATTATCCCATGAATATTATCTGACCACAGTGCAATGAAACTGGAAATAAATGACAAAAGAAACCAGAAAAAAACCCTAAATGCATAGAAATTAAATGACACCCTATGCAGCAACAAATGCATCACAGATGAAATTAAACAAGAAATTCAACAATATCTACAATTCAATGAAAATTCAAGCACAACTTATTGGAATTTATAGGATACGATGAAAGCACTTCTCAGGGGGAAATTCAAGCTGTGAACTCACACATTAGGAAAACAGAAGGAAAAAAATAAGTACCCTAATGCTGTACCCTCAATAACTAGAAAAGGAAGAGCAAACCAAACCCAGAGCCCAAAGACGTAAAGAAATCATAAAGAATAGAGCAGAAATTAATTCAATTGAGATGAAGAAAAAGGTTCAAAGAATTAACGAAACAAAAAGCTGGTTCTTTAAAAGATTAAATAAAATCAATAAGGCCCTAGCTAACCTCATCAAAAAGAGGGAAGAAAAAATTCAAATACAAGGAACAAGGAATGAAAAGAGAATAATTAACACAGACCCAATGGAAATTTAGAAGATCATCAATAGCTACTTTGCGAATATTTACGCTCACAGAACAAAAGACACAGAAGAAATGGACAGATTCCTAGAAAGTTACAAATTGCCACAAGTGAATCGACAAGATATAACCACTCTCAATAGCCCAATAACAGCCAATGAACTACAAGATGTAATAAAAAACCTACCAAGAAAGAAAGGTCCAGGTCCGGATGGATTCACAACTGAATTCTACAAGAAATTTACAGAAGATGTAGTCCCCATACTCCTCAAACTCTTCAATGAAATTGAAAAGGAAACAGTTCTCCAAAAATCATTCATAGAGGCAAGTATACTGATACCAAAACCAGGGAAAGACACAGCTAAGAAAGAGAACTACAAGCCAATCTCCCTCATGAACATAGAGGCAAAAATCCTCCATAAAATCCTAGCAAATAGAATACAGCAAATCATCGAGAAGATCATACACCATGACCAGATTGGATTCATCCCAGGAATGCAAGGATGGTTCAATGTACACAAATCTATAAATGTAATACACTATATCAATAAAGCGAAATCTAAAAACCACATGATCATCTCAATTGTTGCAGAAAAGGCTTTTGACAAAGTCCAACACTCATTCATGTTCAAAATTTTACAGATAATTGGAATAGATGGCCTCTACTTCAATCTGGTAAAAGCCATTTATGAAAACCCAACAGCTAACATAATTCTCAATGGGGAAAAACTGAAATCTTTTACTCTCAGATCTGGTACAACACAAGGATGTCCTCTATCACCTCCTATTCAATACAGTTCTGCAATCATTAGCTACAGCCATTAGACAAGAGAAAGAAATAAAAGGAATAAGAATAGG